CCCTGCCTGCTCCCCTCCACGCAGCCACGGTCAGAGGCAAACGTGGGCTCCCTGCCTTCCCCGCCTCCTCCCGGCCCTGTGTGCCACCCTCCGGGAAGCGGAGCCTGGCAAGCGGCGTGAGAGGCGTCCCCGCTCCTCTCTGTGGAAAGTTACCCTATTTCGGTAGAAACGGCTTTTGCTGAAATGCGGCGGAGGTGATCTTTGTAATGGTAAAAAGAAAAGCCCCGAACAAAACAAAAATCAAGTGGGTTTTTTTTTTAAACAAGTGTGTATTTGCAATGTACGGATACCAAGTGTGACAGCAACAACAGAAGCCAGGAACACCCAAGTCACTCCCTTTGTTTCTTATTTTGAAGTTGAGAATCACACAAGCTCTGGGAACAAGAGCTGATATTTGAAATTTTTACTTAAATTTTAAACTACTATGGTAAAAGGCTGTAAGATTTTGAAGGTAAAAGGCTTTGAAGAGGTAATACTGCCTTTTGAGGATGTGCTCACCTGCCAGCCATGGATTTATAGCCGAGACACTCTTGTAACTGAAAAAATTCAATCCGGTTTGTAATATTTTATATTAAAGACTAATTCTTTTTTTCCTGCCTAATTAATGTAGCCATGTTGCTCTGAAAGTGCTTGTAGTGACATACTTAATTCCTAGGTATTCCTGTTGTAACTCAGTTCCACAGTTAGGTTTACAACCATGTACAGTGCCTGGTTTAAAAATAAAAAAGAAACAACCACCCACCTGCCTGACACACCAGTATAAAAGCTGTGCGGAGGCAAATCCTTGTCCCGTTTTTCAAAAGCATTACAGTGTTCAGTTACGCTCTCTCAACTTGTGAACAACAGGGAGGAGAGGTGCTAAATATTTGTTACAAACTTCCTGTACAAATAAAAAGTAGAATTAAAATCATTTCCCCACCTTTTCTGTAGTTGCGGTTTCACTGGCAGTCTGACACGGAAGTAAACTCTTGATGGTAGTCTCTCTCCTGTTGACTTCTGCTGCCTTGAGCAAGATTATGTGGATTCAGCAAAAGACTTGAGCATATTTCTGAATATAGGCATATTTGTAAGTGAACTTAAAAACATTCAGTTTAAATATGTAATGATTTGGGTTCATACAGTCTTATTTAGATGTCATAAGCATCTGTGGTTTCTGTCAGAACCTGGGGTCTTCAATATTTCTGAAAGAGATAACCATTAATCTTTGTGTGTGCATGCTCTGCATATGCAAAGTAGACAAGGAGTCCTTGTCTTGAAAGCAATTTGAGATTTTATTAATGTTTATTTAGTGACTTAAAGACAAAAATGCTTTATTGCTGTGCAGTTGTCAGTGATTTAGCTACAAGTGAGGAAAGTAAGTGGTGCACGGGCAAGCAAAATTGCTGAGTGAATGAAATTCCTGTCAAAGCCTTATTTTCTCTACATGCAGAACTAATCATGATGATGTACGAGTTAATTCAGCTTAGAGTTCAAAACTCCCACTGCTTCCCACTGTAGTTAATTCTGGACTTATTCTTCTATTAATGTGGTCTCCGATATTAAAGACTGTTTTTAGCTTGTCTTGTGTGTGTCATCTTTTTGTTGGAGTTGATGGGAAGGTTTTATCATGTAGCAGTGAAGCTTTTCTAAAAAAGAAGCACAGAACTGATTTTTTTGCCTTTTCTAACATAATGTTTCAAGCAATTAATAGAATTATAAGTCACGGGTTTAGTTTGAGGAAAAATGGCTTACAGACTATAAATGTGTATTTTCCCCTTTAAACTTCTCATCAGTGGTAAAAAGACTGGAAATATTATCCTTCCTTTGGAATGAAGAAATACTAGTTAGTAAAAGTTCAGTTTCTTTTGTTTACATAAATCTAATAGATCTAAGTGCATATGCATTAGCTATAACTTGCTGTTGCATTAGGGGTGGTCTGTAGAAGTTGGTCAACGAACTCAGAAAAAGCAGCTGTGTTATAAACACTGGTTCTGTTCTAGCAGGGATAGCAGTAAACATTTTTAATCAGAGGAATTTTCAGGCACAGACAGTATTTTGAGCAGTGGGTTGACTAGCCATTACGGCCTGCTGCAAAGTTGGTCTGACACAGATAACCTTCCATTTTCTTTCCTTTCCTGTTCTGTAAATATTGGTAAGTGTTGTGGTTTCCAGACAGGAGAGTGCACTCTGATTTGTCTTGTAGACAAAAGGTGCAGGAAAACTTCTGTAACTCTTTTTACAGTAACTGAAGGTAAACTCATAAGCTATAGTGATTCATGCTCATAAAATGTCAGACTATTCAAGAAGCTTTTATGGTTTTAGCTTTTGTCATTAAAGGGATTCATGTTGTAATGTTGTTAATAGAATGTATGTTCATTAAATACTACGCAGTAACTGAATAACCTTATAGCTGTAATTACATTTCCAATACTTCCAGTCCCTCCTCACCACCAGAACTAAGTCTTGAAAGCCATCCTGAAGTAATGAATGTGTAACTCTGTATTTTATTCTCTGCCCCTAGTTAAAATGCACTTTAATGTTATTGTTCCTATGTGGTAAAGCAATTTATCTCTTGGCATGGGGTGGTGGTGACATAGGACAGTTAATTGGTTATTGATTAAAGTGTTCCCAGCCTGTCTTTTACTTCTGAATGCTTTCTTTATGGACAGAATAAATATTCCAATCCTGTTTGCTTTTCAGACCTGTTTGTATTAGGCCCTTCCTCCTAATCCTGGAGAAAGACAGCGTGAATAGCTGATAACATGGTAAGGGCTTATTGAGAAGGTTTTTGAGATATTTTGGTAGAAACTGTAAAGTTTCTTTCATCAGGACTAAGAATAAAGTGGCATAATGAGAACATTGTTCTTGGAGTGATTGTAGTTACTGGTAAGTTTAAGAATTTGAAAAAATTCACTGTAATGCACATGTCTGTTCTAGGGAATCTGTTGCTTGCAAGATGCTTGAAATTTTGGTTTTTTTAGCTGATTTCAGGGGGGAAATTGTTTTGATATTTTATTATTGGCAATTGTGATGACTAAATTAATTACAGTTCTTGTAACTTTATGTGGAGATCTCTCGGTATGGTCCAGTTACCAATTAAATTTAAAAAAGTGAGAAAAATCCATTTTGCAAGGGAAACTGGGACACATGTAGATGTAACGTTTCTTGTCATGACTTGACTGTCATTCTAGATTCGAATTGCAGCACTGAACGCGAGCTCCACAATTGAGGATGACTATGAAGGTACCTTCAAAAGTCATAAGACACAGACAAAGGAAGCTCAAGTAAGTAAACCCACCATTTTCTTAAGGAAGTTTTGTCTTGATGGGAATTTTGTCCTCTCTTGTTGCAGGGATTGTTCAACCATAATTTTTTGGTTTTAAGTAAGTTGTGTTACTGTCTTATCTATCTCTTGGTCAATCATTTAGCAAGCTAGAACTTTACTCAAATGAGTTATACTAGATCAGTAAGGCTAATGTTCTGCTATACAGTCTGGATGTGGACTGCTTTATAGCAGAAAGTATTAGAAGTATGAAACCACTGATACTTGTAATAAATATATTGTAATAAGTATATTTAATAAAGTTGCCCTACAGAATAGGTTCTACTTTTTTAAACCACAGGAAGCAGAAGCTTTTGCTTTGTACCACAAAGCTTTGGACCTTCAGAAACATGACCGATTTGAAGAGTCTGCTAAAGCTTATCATGAGCTGCTTGAGATTCGTCTTCTGCGAGAGGTCAGTGACCTTTAGAGAATGAAACTCTAGAAACTATTTTTATTATAGTTTGTATTACTTTGTTTCTTATTGGCTAATTAGAAATATCAGTGTTAGCAATTGGCAAGTTGTTTGCTGTTCTTTTTACTTGTGTAATTCCTAATGCCTGCGTTGTGTTTATTTTATCATTGGTAGGCAGTTCTTTCTGGTGATGAGAAAGAAGGGCTGAAACATCCAGGCTTGATGTTAAAATATTCCACCTACAAAAACCTAGCACAACTGGCAGCACAACGGGATGACTTAGAGACAGCCATGGAGTTTTATTTGGAGGTACAGTACAGCTGAAATAAAACATCTCAGCCTCAATGTTTACAAAAACTTGCCAAAATACGTACACCTTTCAGCATTCCACCATTCAGTCCCTCCCTGTAGACAAGTGGATATTCATGTCTGAGATGTGAATAATGTTGTTTGTTATGCTTTCTAGGCTGTAATGCTAGACTCTACTGATGTCAACCTATGGTATAAAATTGGTCGTGTGGCAATAAAACTAATCCGCCTGCCTTTGGCTCGTCATGCTTTTGAAGAAGGTCTGAGGTGTAATCCTGATCACTGGCCTTGTTTAGATAACCTTATCACAATCTTGTACACACTCAGTGACTACACAAGTAAGTACAGTACACCAAAAAAAATTCTCAAGGTATGTGTAATTTTACATACCAATAAAAAAAAGTAATGATGCAATTGTATAGGAGAAAGTGTATCTTGTGTAAGCAGTACATTAGGGTATCATAGAGATTTTTTACTTCATGATAAATTATGATGGTTTGTACCAATTCTGGTTAGCCTAAAAGTAAATGTGGTCTCTTAGATCAGAGCCTCCTCAAGAAGTTTCCTTGTAGACTGTTCTCTTGCCTTTCAATGTATATTGATTTTGTCTTTCTAGTAATTTCCAGCTACACAGTTCCAGCATTTGGGTATAAAACTGCAGTCTAGTTCATAGCCTAGTATGATTAACAGTAATTAGAGCAGTTGATACAACTGACCCTAAGATTTTACATTTGAGTAATACGCAATGGATGAACTGATTCAAAGGAAGTTTAGGAGAGAAGTTACAAGATGGCAGAAATGTTGAATCTGATCCTTTAGGGTTCTCCTACTGCAGTGATCCTAATGGTCTTCATGCAATTGCCCATGTGAGCAAAAACCTGGTGGGATACATTGCGTGTTACACTAATGGAATCTGCAGTTAAGACATTTGATAACATGAAAATGGTAAATGATTGTGATTCTGCTTTATGATTCTAGTTTCTTTTGTGCAGGAATGGAGTCTTAAAGTACATAAAAGATGTACCACAAAAATTGTTTAAACAAAATCAGTGATACTCTTTTTCTGGCTATAATGCTTGGGAAGACATAACAGGTTATTTTAACTGTATGCATGTAGTTATTTGACCTGTTACAAAGCTATTGGTCTGATTTATGTGAATGTCATATCTAGTTGGAATTCAGTGGTGTATATGAAACCAGAAATGGGAGGTTTTGAATGAACCAAAACAGTCATTGACCGTTCAATTTTTATTTCTCTGTCAGCATGTTTGTACTTTATCTGCAAAGCTCTGGAAAAAGACTGTCTATATAGCAAAGGATTGGTTCTGAAGGAGAAGATCTTTGAGGAGCAGCCTTGTCTCAGGAAAGATTCCTTAAGGATATTCCTCAAATGGTGAATGTCATCTTATAGTATATACTGCATTTGGAGTGTAAATTTTGGGGTTGGGGTAGTTCAGAAAACCTGGTGAGATATAATGCTTTAAGCTGTAATAATATCTTGCTGACCTGCCTTCTCAATAATAAATCAATGTTAAGTGTTGGTGCTGCTGACAGTGCTCTTCAGCAATTACTTCTGGAGGGAGGTAGAAAGAGGCAAAAAATCCATTTGCTGCTGCTCACTTATTTTCATACCTAGATCTCTTGTAATCATCTTCCTTTGTTTTATTTTACTTATTTGCAGCTGATATCTGCAGCATTCATTTTAGATTTCCTAATTAAAAAAACAAGCCAAACCAAACTAAAATCCCTAAAATCCCCAAACCTACTACTTTTCCAAGCAGTTACAAACTTGGGACTTGATACAATTTTCTCATATCAGTAGGTTTCAGGGAGCCTTACTGATTTTTATTGACAAATGAGTGCAGTCAGAAGTCTTTGTATGTTTCATTGGTAGTCAAGATGCAGAAATTCTTAGTTTATTAAGCTTTAAGACCGCTGCAACTCTGAAAATATTTTGCAATATTATGTTTGAGATTTTAATTGTTTATTATTACTTTTTTATTGCAGTATGTAGAACTTTCAGTAAAAGTTTGATGTTCTGTAGCTCTGCAAAATAGACTGTTTCTTTCTGTATGGATTTTATAGTATGAGTGGGTAGGAGAGAAGTGGGAAAAGAAAGTAGAGGCCCATAAAATTTACAGGACCTAAGTTAACTGACCATTCAGCATCAGAGCTGCTTCTCATACTGTAATATATTGCTGTGATAGTCAGCTGAATTCAAAAAGAAGTTAAATTTTTAGTTTAATTATAGTTCAGTCTCACTGAATATAGTAATCATTGTGTGTGCAGATAACATCAGTACCCTGTGTAAGTTGTATGAGGTAAATGGAACATGCGTCCTAGCACACATCCTTAAGTTATGCAATAAATTAATCACAAACTTGTTTAACTTTTTAGACCGCTATAATCTAACATCTAAAATGTGAAAATACAGAGTATTTAGAAGATATAGAAGAGGAAGGATAACTTAAATTTTAAGGCTCTTAGGATTCTACGTATAGCAGTAGACCTTTAACAGACAGTCCTGTTTAGTTATAGAGACCCTGATTTATTAAGCTCCTTAGGTCTGGCTCTTAAAATGAGTTACATGCTGGATTAAGCCAGGGCATTTAGCCATTGTTTTTTGTTTCTGGATTGTGATATCTCTGAAGCAGTGGATTATTTTTCACTTTTAAAAATTGATTCGTAGAGTCAGACTATACAAGACAATTTTCAACTCCAAATTTTATTTGTGATGACATGAATTCCTCAGACTAGCACTTTGGAATGAAACAAATTTCTCAGCCATACCGTTTTTTTTCTGAACCACAACTCTCTGTCTCAGAAAGAAAACAAAGCCTCCTACTTTCATTTCTTAGTGTTTGGAAAACAGAATAGGGCAATCTCCCTTTATCTTTTAATTTTTAAGGCAGAACATAGATTTCAGATGGTGAACAGTTTTATATGCATGCTATAAAGTTTGTAAAATAATGTTATTTGAATGCTTTTTTTAACACTGTTTATTTTTGTTATATTATAGGAAGATACCAAATGTATCTCCCCAGGCTTTAAAAAAAAAAAAGAGCAACAAAAAAACCAAACAACAGACAAAAACTTTTACTTGCCTTCTTTTCTTATTATTTCTTAGTGACATGTCTATCCATAATGTAAACGTGAGTGCAGCTGAAACAGGAAAAATCATAGATGAAGCACTGGAGCTACGTAAGAAAAGACAAGCGTTGCTAGTGCGTGACAGAGAACCAGACCTCAGACTGGTCCAACCAATTCCCTTTTTCACGTATGTTGTCATATTTCCTCTTTTTAAAAGCCACTTATGCTGACAACTGTAGTGCACTTCAAATTTCTTCAGAATGCTTTTTTTCTTGTAAAAACAAACCAACCAACCCCCTGATATTTTCGTATTTTAGGAGTTTATAGGTTGGTTTGGTGTGCTTACGATTTTAGCATAAACCCCATATCTGTCAGTTTTCAACCTTTGAATTAAAACCAGCAATGTAAAACAAACAAACCCAAAACCTTAACTAAGAATGATTTGGCAGCCATTCCAACTGTATTATTGGATTTTTCATATATGACTAGTTTGTATATGAACTTCAAAGTAAGTTCAGCTTTTTAAAAAATGTTTTTACTATTGGGATAATGGAAACTCAGAAACAAATTATAGTTCTTTATTTGCAGCCAGATACAAGGATACTATTAAGTTGTTACATATGTCTTTATTAAAGGCATAAAGGGTTGGGGTTTGTTTTTTTTTTATTGTACATATTTTTCTGGAATATGAATGGACTCTGCACATAGGTCCTATTGCAGAGAAGTTGCTTCTAGTTGTGGATAAGGGTAAGATTTTTTTATTGTTGTTGATTCAATGCAGAACCTGAAAATGGTTCCTTTGACACTACTTTTTTTAGGGTGCGGTATAGAGTAATTTCCTCAGCAACTATTGCATAGACCTTTTTTTGTTAGAGACATTTTTTGAGATTAGGCTCATTATTGATTCCTGCTTCCTTCGCACTGCAACCAGCTCAGCAGTTTCCTCTGAAAACTTTTGCCTGCTGCTACATTTTGTTCTTATTTTTTTAAAGTGGTGTATTCTAGAAGGAAAGCTCCTAGGGACCTCTGTTCTGGGCTTGAAATTGTCCATGGTCCGTATGATGGGAAATACAGAAAGTTATTTTCCAGCTTTTCTAGTTGTAGGACAGATTTTTGACACTCAAACGTGTGTTCCTCTCCCACTGAAAAGCTGCTCTTGCTACGTCTAAGCTATTGGGGAAAAACAATGTTGAATGCTGTTAGGTTTGTAAATATAATTTAGAATTTAGATATACAATATTTAGAAAATAATGTGACAAGAATTAATAAAGTTGTGATGCCATTGTGTTTCCACATGCAGGTGGAAGTGTTTAGGAGAAGCTTTACTTGCCATGTATCACCACCTCACAACATGTGATCCTCCTCGACCCAGTCTGGGAAAGAGAATTGATCTCTCAGAATACCGAGACCCAGTTCAACATTTGATTCTCTCTCCTACTTCTACTCCTGTCAGTGTTATTCAGCCAAATCCTGTCAGCACTAATCCAGTGGTGACAATGCCAGATCCTGTATTACCTTATACTCCAACGACACCCAACTTTCCAAGTCACAGTCAGAATTCATTGGAACCAGGAGCTACTGTAGGTGAGCAAGGTACTTCAGTCTAAGATTCAAGATATCTTTCCTACTTGTCTGGGTGTTAAAAGTGCTACGGAACTCATTGGGAAATGCTGTCTTTAAAGCTCATATTGGTGGATTCAGAATTTTCTCAGCATGTGTATAACGTCTGGTAGAAAAAGTGAAGCTGAGCTCTATAAAATTAAGTTCTGTTAACCTTCTACATTGGAAAAGGGAAGGCCACCTGAACTGCCTGAGAATCGTTGATTCCTGACTAAGAGATAGGAGCAGTGTTCAGGACAGTGGACTGATTTTCCTATCTAATGGAATTGAGAGTCAGGTTGATTTGTTGTTCTTAACTGTTACTCCAGTGCAGGAGTATCTAACCTCTTCTTGTTTTGTGCTATTGACTCGTACTTCAGTTTTTCACTCTTTTAGAAGAATCATGACTCCATTCCAGCAATGATGCATATCAAGCTTTTAATGTTGTGAAGAGTCTTGAGCTCCTTAGAATGAATGAGCTGTTAGGGAAAAGATGATTGGATTATTCTTCTGCTTGTGTGTAACTTTAAGAACCTGAGAGAACCAAGCTGTCAGCTATATTTATTTGAAATCTGTAGCAAGAGGTTTGAATATTTTATACTGTAGCTGTATATGTATTTACATATCTGAAACTATCAAGGAGTTACCAGTATTTTGTTGCTATTCATGGGAATTTCTAGGTGTTTTGGGAGTTAAAGGCAGACTCCTCTCATTCCAATTTCAGGAACTTCTTGAAGACTAAAATAATGAATTCTAACAAATAATGAAATGCAGAATTTTCAATAAGGCTGCTTCTTGCGTCAGACCAGCATTTTTATGCAAAACGCCATAGCCAGTTTATATTAAAGTGATTTTTTAAAATTATTTTTATATTTTTGGCACTGTCTTCAGAAGGAAACCAGTGAATCTCAAGTGTTGCTGTAGAATAAAATAGTGTCAGCCACAAATAACTTTTTTATTTTAAATAAAAAAGATTATCCACTTTTTGTTTGGCAGTTTAACCTGTCAGTATCTTTTTTTTTTTTTTTTTCCCCTTTTTTTTTTTTTTCATTCTGCTTCTAGGTGACATATCTGCAGGTGATAAATCCAAGAAAGGTGTGAAGCGAAGGAGAATTACAGAAGATAGTGGTGAAACAGCAAAAAGGAGATCTGCCAGAGTCCGGAACACCAAGTGTAAAAAAGAGGAGAAGGTTGACTTTCAAGAGCTGTTGGTGAAATTCCTTCCTTCCAGGTACTCTACAGCAATAACTTTAATTATGAGAGTATCAAGAACTAAGTAGAGGAAGCTGTTTGGGGTTTTGTTTGATTGATATGCCCCAGCCTTAAAACCACTACACCCATGTTATTTTTTGAAGCAGATGTGATGCATTGTCTTCTCATAAATTTAGTAACATTGGTTTTAGTGAAAATTACTAAAACCTAATTGAAAAATAAGAAAGCTTTGTTAATGTGAAACTGAATTAGAGGACAATGCAGGTGTCAAAATGGATAAGATAAACAAGGTAATCTTGGCTGACAAAATTTGGGAACTGTAAATCTCTGAATTTGCTTCAGCTAATGTACTTTAGCTGTTAAAATATGCATAATGTTCCATGTTTAGGTTTCACTTAATAGTGAAGGAAGGAATGAGGATTTTGTTGATATCATGGGTTTTGCTCCCCTTTCACACAGATTAAGGAAATTGGATCCAGAGGAGGAGGAGGACCCTTTCAATAACTATGAGGTGCAGTCAGAGATCAAAGAGGAGAATTTCCAACATGTTGGACCACATAGAATGTCATTCGATTCTACAACATTTATGGAATCTGGTAAGGATTTCATTGTAATTCCCACTCTTTCTCTGTTGTTGCTTCCATACTGTATGCTTTATGTTCTGTATTTTCTTAAATCTAGAAGATACAGAAGTATGTGTTAATCTAAATAGTATAATTTTATGGCATAGAAATATCTCCATAACAGGTGTGGTTTGTTGTTTTGTTTTTTTTTTAAAGTCTTGGTGACTGCTTAATAACTGTGTGCAAGAGCTCTGTGTGGAGTTTCCCATTTAAAGAGACTGGAATACAATAACTTAATTCTGCATGTATGCAGCACAGGGGAACTGCTGCAAGATTAGTGTGTAAAAACACTGCTGAAACTTACCTGTTTCAAGTTATGGTCTGCCTTGACCTTAAACACATATGGCTTTGTGTTTATCTGCTTTCTAGAAAAACAGGATGTTCATGAATTCCTTCTGGATAACCTGAACAATGGTGGGATCTTGGAGCTGATGATGAGATATCTAAAAGTCATCAGCCAAAAGTTCCTAGTGAAGTGGCCTCCTGGCTTGTGTGAGGTGGTCCTTAGTATCTATAATAGCTGGAGAAAGCATAGTAGTAGTCTTCCTAATCCATTACTGAGGGACTCAAGTAATCAGCATATCAAGGTAATGAAACTTTTTTTTTATACTTTTATTTGCTGCAGTGTTGCCCTCTGCATACCAAAAGCACCTAACTGAAATCCTGTGATTAAGCGCAGGTTTTGCTTAGCTTTGTCTGGGTTGCTGCTTGTCCTAGCTGTTGCAGCTTTCATGAGCTGTGAGATCCTGCAGCTTGCATGACTGTTTGTTCCTTAGCTCCTGAACATATCTGGGTGATGCTATATGCCAGTATACCCTATACATATTGTGTGTGTGTTAATATATGCATGCACACATGCATATAGGCGTAATATAAATACTGTAGACGTAACTACATTTTACTCCTTTACTCTATTGCTCTTTCTTCCCTCCCTTGCTTCTGATATGATACAAAGTTTTGTTTTGTCATCAGGTGAGTAGAGAGGCTGCTCTGTTCACACTGGCTGAGGGTCAGCATTTCTGCTCTAAACAGAGTAAATACAGTTTAGTTTTAAAATAACCTGCAATTTACAGAAAAACCAACCAAAACCAACCCCACCCTCCCCAGCATCACCATTTTATTACCTTCATAAATCTGTAGATTTCACAAATGCAAATAGAAAAAATGGTAAGTTCATTAAATTGTTAAACCAGCTTAGTGACACAAGATGGTACTTCTTGATTTATAAAACCAGTACTGATACTTCTTGTCCACTGAGCCTGCTTATGTTATCTTTTCAGTGTTAGCAATGTGTATTCGCTTGGAAAGTTATTTGCCTTTGGTATGACTGAGTTTGAAGTATTTTTTTTTCAGATCAACACTGTTTCTACATTTTGCAAATGAAAAATGAGTACTGAAAACTGTGTTCCATTGACTTAGTTTACAAAAGTATCGCTATGTAGCAAATGTTAAATTTTTATACATCCTGTGACTTTTGTATTTCTATATATTTTCCATACATATACATACCCTTTTTTAAACAAACGTAGATACATTTATAAGTGTATTCCCTTGGTTCTCATTATGACTGCATAACTGCTTGCTTGTGTGCAAAATTTAAAAATTCAAGACTTTGGGGCTATACTCTTAAAAATCATTGTCCTCATGCTTGTCTATTCTCCTTCATCCTTGAATTTATTTTAAACTTGATCTGCAAGCTATCCTGAATGTAATAAGTTTGGGTTTTTAAGATTGTAAAGGGCTATTTTGGTAACGCATATGGACCTTTGAACCTTTTCACAAGTGCCTGGTTTTTACAGCTGGACCTGTAGCCCTTATTCCTATGAATTTAATCAGAAAAGAGTATATTCTTCACTGCACAAAACTACCTGGCAGAGATCCATGGTGATGTGATTTTTAATATACTCCTGAACTTTATCCAGCAAGCATTAATAAGCTGATAAGACTAGAGCACATACTCAGTCTCATGGAGATAAATACTGGAAAAATTAGAGGATATAGGCTTTTTAGTTCTCAAATATCAGTACTTCTACTGTATTTTGGAAACATGCTTTTGGCAAGATTTAGCAATTTAATATAGTTTTATTTCAGCCAGATACAAAAATAAGGATGTCACTTTTTTCTAACATCAGGCAATGCTGTTCTGACTACCTTCTTTTATGAGCTGAGATTTTTTTTTTTAATGCTCTTTCTGTGTATTGTGGTTTTTTGTACATGTTGGTCTGTAAATGCTATTCTACACCTTTAGACAGAGGAAGAAGTAGTTACAGCTGGGAATAGAAATCCCAAGAAGACAAGTTGAAGGTTTTCTTTGAAGTAACTTGCAAATTTAGTGGGGTTTTTTTTATTCTTCTTTTAATGTATTCCTGTATACTCTTTTTTGATATCTCTGTATTTTTTTTTCTGAAGGATATGATGTTGATGAGCCTTTCTTGCATGGAACTGCAGTTAGATCAGTGGCTACTGACAAAAGGGAAGAGCTCTACAGGTGAGAACTGGATGTTACTTTCTTCAGACTCTAAAAGCGCTCAAGGTATATGAGGGAATATTTCCAGGAATTCATTGGATTCCAAATACCTCCAAAATCGGAGCTATTTTTTCTTAATGAATACCTTTCAGATCTGTATTTTAGTGTTCTATCAATTGTTTCCCTTAAAGTAGATCAGTACTTTTGAAATACCAGTATGTGCAACTCTTTTCATGGGATGCTAGTAACTATGAGAAAATGTAATTAATTGATTTGCAGTTTCTCCACGGAATTGCCCTGCTGCCTCTGTGAATGGAAAGTTTGGTCCTGACTTTCCAGGAACTCACTTTTTGGGAGACCTGTTGCAGCTGTCATTTGCATCCTCACAGCGAGATTTATTTGAGGAAGGCTGGATGGAGTTTGTCACTCGGGTGTATTGGCTGAAAGCTCGCTTTCTAGCACTGCAGGTTTGTTTTACTTTTGATTTAACAAATAAAACTTTTCCCAAATTAAAATCAATGTTGTGGAGAGATGCTATGGCTGATTTGGGAATCTCAGCTCATTTAAGCATGTAGATAAAATCAGCTCAAAACATTTTACTTTTTAATATAATTAACTGTCACTAAGGGTAGAGGTGGAAATAAAGTAGGAGGTCTCACATGCTAAGCTAATACTCAGATAGGTTTAATATGTAAGTCTTTGTTTAAATTAGCTCATGCTCAGCTTAAATAAAATCTTTTTGGACCAAAGTTATTTGGAGTAGTATTATGTAGCTGCAGAACATGGATTTTTTGGGACCCAAACTAGTGGATACTATCAAAGTCCCAGACAGTCCAAAATGCAGCTTTCAACTGAAGCAGACTGTATGCTTAATTACTCTCCCCTCTGCTTCTTCAGGGTAGTATGATTCTTCTTTTGGAGACGTTTAATTTAATATGCAGACTTTGAACCAGAGGGTTTTAAACCTATCACTAAGGGAATAATTTCAAATAAATGTTATTTGATCCCAGACTTTTTTTTCCTTCCAAGCATTGTTTCCTCAGGACATCAAAGAGTTTGTTTATGCATCAATTATGTTTAAGTCAAATGTCAATTAATAATGTCAGTTTCATAAGTGTGAACTAACCAGTTCCTTCCGTTTTTATTTTTTGCATCTAAGGATTCCTTTCTAATAAACTTATGTGAGGAAAGATGAGAGTTCCTATTTGGCTACTGCCATTTTTTCTTCAGATACACAGTTACATTTTGCCTGTGGAGCTTGCATTACTCTCCTGACCACTCAGCTTCAGTATTTACTCCAGTTGGACAGATTGCGTTCACTTTGCAGAATAGAAGAATGTTTCTTGACTCAGTGTTTTTATTTGCACAAATGGAAGATTTATTTCTACTGTTTTACTCTTCCATGTTTTTAAAGGAAAGGGATTTCAGTAATCCAAATTAATCTTTCAAATTTATGCAAGCTGAATTCTATTTCTCTGATTTTTTAAAAATTTTTTTTATTTTTATTTTTTTTTTTAATTTGAGATTGTCAGTAGGATTTTTTTTTATTTGGGAGGACGTGCAGTAGTCACATTGGCAGTGTCTGCATTGAATTTAAACATTTTCTACATGCTTCAGAAACCCTTGCTGCAGACAGAACTCTAGGTTTGTTTGTTTTCCTCTGTACCATTTCTGCAGGGAGACATGGAACAGGCACTTGAAAACTATGATATCTGCACTGAAATGCTACAGAGCTCCACTACAATGCAAGCTAAAGCTGGCAATGATTGCAACATTGTAATACGGTTACCTAATCTACATGTTGATTCTGTTGTTTCTTTAGAAGAGGTAAGAATTCATTTGCAGGGGTATTCTCCCGACTCCATCCCTCCCAGTTTCAAAGATCATCTATGAATTAGCTCTTTTGTGATGGGAGTTTACCACGTCTGTCGTAGGATTTTTCTAAGAGTGAAAGGACAGGTTCATATTTCAATGATGATGTCAAGGCCATCATCTCCTTTTAAAAAAGACACCTTTTGGATCTGTTGGTCCTGTACAACTTGAGATTGCTTTTATGCAAAATAAAAATATTAGAGCAGCTGCATGTAGATCAGTGTTTTATTTTCTGTTCTTAAACATAAGTTTCACCTTTGCTTAAATGAGCTCTTTACTTCAGCAGTCTGTTTTCCACATAACAATTTGTGTACACTTTTAAACAAAGGGATGTCCATACTTCTGTTCTTTCTATTGCTATTTGGGGGATGAGCTCCAACACAGGAGATGTTTTCTTCACTTTGAAGTCCATCTGATGGAGGTATTCTTGCAGTGTAGAAATGCGTGATTTGGGGATTTGAGGCAAAAAAGTGTAAAATCATTATAGCACTAAAGTCATGCACTGTGTATTAAAAATCTGTGGAATGGGCGAAGTGTTACATAGGAGGTGTTTTTTTTCCCGGTTTATATTCCTGGATGTAGCTGTAGAGTTCACATAGCTTTACAGCTAAACTGCTAGGAGAAATGTCAGTAGTCAAATATATGTGAAGACAAAATGATAGTTGGATTGTGCCATCTGTGATGTTTGCAGATTGAAAAAAACCTAAAATCCCTGGAGAGATGCCAGTCTTTGGAAGAGATCCAGCGACTGTATGAGGCAGGGGATTATAATGCAGTGGTGCATCTGCTTCGTCCAACGTTATGCTTTAATGGTTATGGCAGAGCAAAACATCTGGAATTTGTAACATCCATACCAGAGCGACCAGCACAGCTGCTTCTCCTACAGGTTTGTTCTGTTTCTTAAAAAAGTCTTTTTTAGTAAGGCTTTAGGATTTATTCCTAAAAACCAGAATGAACAAATTTCTAGAGTGGGTGTTAATGGTTAACAAGTCTTATTTACGAAACAAAACGTGGAACCAAACCTTTAAATGGTCTGAACAGCATAGCTTTATTGACAGCATTAGAAATATGCCAGCTTTTGTTAACTGAGAATGTGGCTAAAGATATAAGATGTCCGAGGACTACATGAAATGGCCACAAAAACTGTAAATTCAAATAAACTTCAATCAATTGCAGAGACATCTTATGGATGGATTCATGCTATCTGCATCTTCTGTGAATGCTTCTTGCTTTTGCTGATGTTGACTGCATGGTGATTTGCAACCATTCTGAAACTTAAAAGTTATCTAGCATATGAATGATTTTTGTGATGTAGTGTATCTCTCCTGCGTGATGACAAACCGTTGATGGATACATCCAGTATAATTAATACAGATTTAATCCATTTTCATAGTGAACTAAGTGTACAAATGAGCTCAGCTATAGAAACAATTTGAGCCTCTGGGAAAAAAAAAAAAAGGTTGCACAAAACCAGTCTGATGCTCTGTAACTGGACTCAACTACAGCCTCCATGCCATCTTGTGACCCAAATTTGGCTGAGTAGAAAGAAGCAGGAGGATGTCACTATGTGCTTGCCTTATAATTGCTATTTTGTTATTTATGAAGTAATAAACTGGTAGCACAAGATCATAAAGATCCAAACCCTGTTTCTGTAGAGCCTCTATACAACTGCATATCATTAGAATTTTAGACCTACAGCCTGAATTTCCTGAATTTCTTTTTCTTGCATCTCTTACTAAAGCAGAAAGATTCAGTGATGATTTTTCTGAAATTTAGATCCTACTTGTGTATTTGTCATCCAAGGTCCATGCACCTCCTATTGTCCCTTTTTAATGTCATATTTAAAGGTTTTCTGTTACCGTTCCGTTAAAGTAACCACATTAGCTGTATATAGTGTATTGCTTTGCCCTGCTGTGCATTCATGGTTTAAAATAAACCCTTCATCCTTAGAATAGATTTTTTTCATATTTACATTCCCTAGGACTCCCTGCTCAAACTGAAAGATTACAAGCAATGCTTTGAACGCTCAGAAGTTGCCTTGAATGAAGCAATTCAGCAGATGATTAATATGACAGCAGCCTCTGCTAAAGAAGAGTGGGTTGCTACGGTAACACAACTGCTCATAGGAATAGATACTTCATTATCATCAGTCAGCAGCATCTTGAAAGACTCTTCTATAACACCAGGCCTTGTTCGATTAACAACCAACCTGATTCAGGTAACCTGTTCACTTGTACTAGGAAAGAGGTATTGTGTGCTACAGACCTTCAGACATGATACAGCTGCTGTCCGAATTGCCACCCACTCACAGTGATGTTTTGGGTTACATTTTTGTTGAGCGAAGGTCGGGGGAAGATGAGCATTACCTTCATAATATTAATTTTCATTTCAGTATGTTAGAGATGCACTGAGCACACCTGTGCTAGCATCAGTGACAGCAGGTACCTTCGAACACCAAGCTGCTTAAAATAATCAAAGAATGGTAGTAAGATAACCCAAGGAACAACACCATATTCTTATGCTGTTTGAAGCAGTGATAATGTGAAGACTAATTGAGCTGACTGGGTGCAGTTTGTAAGTTATGGCACTGATCTTGGCTGTATGTGCTTTGGACTAGAAGACAAGATTCTGCAAGCCTTACAAACATGATAGAGTTGCTTGCAAGTGCTGGACAAGCTAAGGGGTTTTCCCAATAAAAACAGAGAGGGTGATGAGAAGAGGGCAGGAAAAAAAGTGATGTGTGGACTGTTTCTAGCATTATGAATACAGCTAATTTTAGCCTTGTAAAGAAGGTACTTTCAAACCTTAAAACTACTGAATGAATATTTTTCAGTTTAGGTAACAAATGGCAGACTAGAAGCTGCTAATCTACTTACTGTCAAAATTTACTGTGCTTGCAACTCTCAGATCTCCATTTACTACAGTAAAAGCCAAGGTCCTTCACTACTCACAAAATCCATATTCTCATTGTGTGAAGTTGTATGGCAGTCACTGTGTTGTGGAACGTAATGGAATTCTGTAGAACAGAGTATTCACTGTAAGATCCTAAGTGGTTTCTGTAGTAATAATAAGTATGATTCTTTATCTACATAAATACCAACAGAAAAACTGTTGTATGTGTGAAAGAATGTGAGGAAAGTGTAGGACTTCAGGAATTTCTGGCATTGTGGAAATATAATGGGCAGTTGTCTATGAGAAATGGTAGGACAGTGGTTCCATGACACAGCATTGTGTTGCTCAGAATTTATTCAGGTATATAATTTTTATAGCATGTGTTGGGGATTCTCGTTGGTCTTTAACAGTTGTTGTAAGACCTGGTAAAGAATTCAGGAATTCTTTTAACTAAGTTCCTCTTCCTTGCTGGGTTGTAGATAAATTTCTTGTACAGTAACAAGGCCTAGTAACATGAAGAATTTATGTTGCATGTTTGCTTACTTCGAACTGTTGTATGTGCTATTAATAGAGAAATAACTAGCTGGAAAATGACGATGCAAGAGGAATGCCAGGGTAGGGGAAATGATCTTCTACCCTTCCCCATACCAGTTCATCGTACTTGTAGGACTTTTACCACCACTCATTGTGCAAAGCTGAGACTTGACTTTAGATGATTTCCTTAAACCAATTTTGGGTTGTTCGAAAGAATTCACACCTGACTTTTATTTTATATCACTTTGTCTATATAATGTCTGTTTCTTTATTAGATCATAGACTGCAGCATGGCAGTCCAGGAAGAACCAAAAGAACCATATGTCTCCTCAGTGCTTCCATGGATTATCCTGCACAGGATCATCCAGCATGAGGAAGATGCTTTTCAATCCCTTTGCTGCCAGCAGCAGCAGCAGAACCAAGGAGAAGAAGGTGAATTATTTATTCACTTTTACATATGGAGCTGAGCTCTTTACCATGTAGCTCTGGAATATAAATAAGAAAGTGCTTGTTTGTCATCTTATCTTACTGGCTGAAGGGAATAGAGGAGTATGCAAACATCACTTTCTTATAACCAAGGAAACATCTTTTTGCCAGACGAAGCATTGACTAGTTGGATTTAACTCAGTTCTGAGTTGCTTAAACATTTTACCAACTTCTTTCTTCCAGTGAGTCCTGATACACCTATGTTGCCATCTTCCCTCATGCTGCTGAACACTGCTCATGAGTATTTGGGAAGAAGATCCTGGTGTTGCAATTCAGATGGTGCTCTTCTCAAGTTCTATGTAAGTGGTAGCATCGTAGAATAATTTAGGTTGGAAGTGACCTCTGAAAGTCATATGGCCAGCCCCCATCTCACAGCAGGGAACAACTTCAAAGTTCTATTAGATGGTTTATTGCCTTGTCTTCATGGTAAAAATACACTTTTAAATCCACTTTCCTTCTCCCAGACAGACACATGAATGTTTTAGTCTGTTTAATCTGAATAGCAAAGGCTTGTTATTCCAGACCCCTGTATGCTTTCTAAACAGGCCGAGCTGCCTCTGTACTATAAACATCTTAAATGGGAATTAGTAAATCATCTACGTTGCCCTGAAAGAGAAAGCAGTGGAGGTGTTAAGTGATTATTCTGAGTACTTAGGAAAAATGTGGGTCTGTATCAGCCACTGATCGTGATAAAACTTCAGTTGAATGACTTGAATTTTGTGGTGCTTAGCTTCGGAAGATGCATCTCCCTACTCTTTAAAAAACAGAGGTAATGTTTGAAGCTATTAAAAAGTTTTTGGCGCTTATCAACATTCACCCAGATGACTGGTAATATGGTAATTTGGCATTGTTGTGTATTCTTTCCTGTGGTAAAGTCAGAGGTTGTTTGGGTTTTGGTTTTGGTAATGAATGTATAAAACTGATTGCAGCTTATGACCTGTGGAAAGGGGATACCTGAATACTGAATCTGTATCCAGTTTCATCTTCTTTTATGTCTGGTAGCTCAGCCACACCCCTGCCCTGCTTGCAGCAAAGGTTTACTCTTGATTTAAATGCCAAATTTTATTTTAGATATTCAAATAATATTTTATTTGGTAATAACTCTTAATTTTCAGCTGTCCTCTGAGAATTAAGAATAACAATTCTAAATTCACAACTGTTGAAGGTGAAAAATCACCCCAATTCTACTAGCTAGAGAGAGAGAGAGAGAGAGGGAGCATGAGCAATGTCAGTAAAAAAACCCAGACAAAACAGAACATCTCATCTTTCCTGCTTCTCTCTCAAATGTCTTGCTGGAGGGTCAGCAGTCTGTGTGGGTGGAGCATGCTTCCTGCCTCAATATTCCAGCAATGACCATGGCTTTTGTCCTCCAACCAGGAGGTAAGTTAGGCAGGATAAAAATGGAAAACTTTGGGCAAGAGGTGTGTGCTGTCTCAGCAGTGTGTTCTGGTGGGTGTGCACTTCAGTCTTTCAGGCTTAGCAGAGATTGCTGTAGGAGCACATAGCCCTGGTTGCCCACAAGGAGTATGATGCCAGAAAGTAACCAAACCATAGCATGGAGAATGAGCCAGTTAATTCTCCACAAAGGAGTACCAAATATCTTGATTGGAAAAATGCTGTTGAAGTGATGGCCAGTAATGTGACATAGCTCTTCTTCCTGAGAGAGACCAGTTTTCTTGTATACCATGCCTTTATTTCCTGAGAGTTATAATATTTGAGAAGGATTTTGCAGTTAAGTAGATTTAACACTCATAATTGATGGTATTAGAAACAGAATTCTACTCAATTATGCATAGGTGAGACAGACATGACACGACAATGCAAACTTTTGTTTCCTCCCATGTGCTGTTAATCAGCCTTGATTATATTCAGGTCTACTTTTCTTTTTTTCTCCAGTCCAATAACACAAGGATAAAAAGGATTTAAAATAATGGCCTGAAGGAGGAAATGGAAAGTGAAATACTTAGTGTTGTATGTAGCCACTTTAGGTGTTTTCTTCTGAACAATGCTGAGTTCATCATGAATTCATTCTAAAGTACAGTACTTCTGAAGATATGCAGAATTTAGATACTGCTAAAGATAATCCTCTTGTGCTTTGAAGGATAATCTAATCATTCATAGGAAGTAAAAATGCAGAAAAGACTTTTTTTCAAAGCTTTTGTAAAGCATTGCATAACTTATTTTGTTCATTGTAGGATTTTTCCTTGGTTTTTATTTTTGTTTTGTTTTCTAGAACACAAATCTTGCTAGCTCAAGATATAGAAAGAACTTGGGTGGAAGTCTTATTTCTGCTGAAAGGGGTGGAATGATTATCCTTGACATACCTTACCATGTTGTCAAAGATGTTAAATACTAAAACTGATGTAGCAGAGATGTGGAAAGTTGGTAGTAGGGGTGTGGATAGCTGTCAGCAAAGCTGAACAACTCAGTACATGGACTTTTTTTTTTACCCAAAATACTGTAACTGGAAGCTTTGAAATGTTATAAACTTGTATAAAACAAAATTAAATTTTAAGGACATTTTTCTGTCATCAGAGACTGTGAGACCAAGTTTCAAGTAGTTGTGACCTTTAAGTGGGAGAATGTGGGTATAGTCTTCGTTTTTAAGTATATGTTGAAGGGTGATTTTTTTTTTTTTCTCAGAAAGACAAGAAGTCAAGAATAATGCTAATTTATTTTCAGTAATCAAAATGATATTCAAATGTCTTAATTGTGAGAACTCTTATGTTAAAGAAAAATTAAGAATAGTGAATGTAAGAAGAACAGCACACCTAAATATTAGAATAAAAAGTTATGTCCTCTGGAACTCAGTTTTCTAAAAGCTGACAAGTAATAGAAATGATTTCTTGAGTGTTGATATAAAATTGAAAATAAACCTGAGAACAGTTTATTTCCTGTCATAATTCCCATTGTTCTGTGGACTTACCTCACTGAAAAGAATAATTGCTTTCTTCTGATTTTTCTTCTCTCTTTTGCTTCTTGCACTAGTATTTTATTTTGTTCTAAGATTTGAAAGTAGGAATAGCAAGAGGTCTGGTAGTACTGTACATCATTCACAAGCTGAAAAAACCAGTACTGTTACTTCTTTAAAATTTGTGCTAAAATAACCCAGTGGAGATTCCATATGCATCCTGTCTTAGTGATTCTAAATTCACTTCACAGAATTTCTCAAGTGTTACGTAAAGTTTGCACACTTTCAGTATAGGTAAATACTATTTAACACGTAAAAAGATCATATTTAACTGTCAGCCAGGAAAATTCAGTTTTGAATTTTGCAGTTAAACTTGGTTATTTGTTTCTTCCAAATCACAAGAGTAAAGATTTGCAGGCCGTCGTCTGTCCTCAGTTACGCATTTGGAATGCTGCTGATTGCTCACAGACTTTGTGGTGTTACCTGGATTTGGTCCTGAAGCTGTGATGTATATAGTTGTTCCGCTGTTGATAAATTTGACTTACTTGATTATACCTGCCCTGATTTTTATATTGCAGACTGAAGAAAAGGTAATTCTGTTGTTTTCATGTTATTAACTATATATGACTTGAAATACATGTATGGAGTTCATCTATTGAACAAAGATGATGAGAATGAAGTTCCTTCAGTCCTGCCTTCCCTGTGTCTGAAGGCTGTTCTTTGCTCTGTTGTTCAGATGGGTGTATAAGAAGATCTAACATGCTCCAGAAATGGGTGTCTGGGCAGTGATGCAGTAGGATTATTAGATGAAAGGAGTTAGCTACTCCTTGTTGATCTTTTTAATATTACTCCTTGAGGTCTATTTGTTACATGAGAAAAGAAATTGAGGGAAAATATTTCTGTGTATATTGCTGTTACCTCACTTTAACCTTAGCATGGACACTGAAGTGCAGTCAGCTTTCACTGTACCGGCAGTCTGGGATAGCCTGGCTGTTGGCAAAACCCAGATAATACCGTGGCGTTCAGTGGGCAGTCCTCTACTGGGATATTTCAGCGGCACTTTACAGATTCAGCTTGACTTCACTGAGGTTTATTACCTTCAGCCAAGAGAAAATAATGATTAGTTCTGCATAGAGCTACTCAGGAATCTCTTAATTCCCCTTCTCAGCACTCCCCGGAGCTTATTTGCCACAGCTCAGTGCCAGACCCCATCTACCTCTACATTTGAGCAGCAGCATGTCCAGGGCAGTAATTTAGACAGCTAGGAAGGATGGCGTGGTGAGCCTGAGGGGTTCTGCAGGAGTCTGCTCACACTGGTAGGGCTGGAGCTAATGAGCAATTTTTGAACTGAGGCTGATTCAGTGTAGGACTATTAGATTATCTCTGCTTCATACTCTCCTCTATCTCCCTGGTATTAGGAGCATAATGCTGATACACCTGAGTTGCCTCTGTATGGATCTGCCTCTGGCCCAGAGGGCTTACCTAGCTCAGGCACTGTGCTTCATGAAAATAGATAGCCTGTTTCCAAACTCGAGCTTGTCCTCAGATGCAGTGCTCCTAAGTGATGAATCTAAATTGTGTCTGTATGGTGTGCCTCTATCTACAATGTGGGGAGCCTGAAAGTATGCGCTGTGAACCTGGATAAACTACAGATAATTGAGAGCTGTGAATGTATATACGGCTAGATCTTTGCAAATGTCATCAGGTACTTTGAACAAAATCTTCAGTTTTCAGTCACAGAATTTCCCAGTTCTTAAACTAAGATATAATATGGTATTATTCAGCACAAGTATTTAGTTTTCAGAGACAAGAGGGTGTTAGGAGGGTAAGGAAAGACAAAGATAAAATGGGATTAATTATTTGAAGAAAAGACAGCTTCAAGAATGTTAAACAAAAGCGTACTTTATATACTAGTATTAAATGATCACCTTCTATAGGTGAACTGTCTGCTCAAGTACATTGTATTGCTTGTGGCTGAAGGTGGTGTGCAAGAGAAGATATTAATATGTAGTTAAGTCTTTTAGCAATAATCAAAGTCTGAATTATTAAGAACAATTCTGGGTTACTGCTAAGAATTTAAAAGCTGAATAAGAACACAGGAGATTGTTTTGAACACGTCAAGTGGGAGCTCTGTTACCAGTGTTAGATGTGATTTTGTTTGCAGCAGTAGGAATATCGTGCTTTTGTTACAGTATCCCGTGATGCTTACATCTTCCTTTCAACTTATCTACGCTTTTTGTAAACTTCAGATGTTGTTCACAAATTCTTACAGGCAAAGTAGTAGAAATAAGGTGTCTGCTGTGACTCAAAAATTTCACTGAAATGCCTTCTAAGAATTGTCTTTACTCTTATTTTTCAGGGTTTTGCCTCTTAATAAATGGTACTGTGTTCTTAGCACAGATGTTTTAAGCAGAAGAGAATTAACATCTTATAGTTAATCCTGGCACTTACAGATGAGCTTCTTACTTGTAGAATGACAGAATTCTGCTTTGTGGTGATGTGGAGCGTTTGTAGTGTCAGGAAAGCCAATCATGATGCATAAATAATCGAGTTTACAATCTTAGATGTTGAACAATGCTAAATGGTGATAAACCGGCAGATGAAGTACTGTAAAAGTAATATGATGAGCTTTTCTACAAATTGCAAATAAGTGAATCTTTTGCATTTTCAATTTATGACTGCAAAATTTCAGTTGAGGAAACTCCTAAGTTAACCAGTGTGTTGAGGAATGGATGTGGCTGGTTTGGAGAAGTCAGATGTTACTAAAAAGAGTAAGTTAAAGTTGATGCCTTCTGTCAGAGGAAAAATGTTGAAGGAAATTATTTATCAGTTAATAGAACTCTCCTGGTAGTATACAGCTTCCTAAAACTTTAGAGGCAAAGGACAGTGGAGAATACCGTACGATCTCCCAAATGACGATTACAGTAGAAGCATTTATCTTCTACCACCTCAAATGAGTTTTCTTTAGACATAACAGATGCGTTCTGATACTGGGGACACACACACAACATATTGCTGTTGGATGTGTAAGATACTATGTCTGTAATTTCTACTGAACACATTTAATTTTTTAATTTAAATTTCATAGTGGGACATGTTAGAATTGATTCTTATGACTCAATGATTAAGTGTCGGGTTTGGTTTGGATTTTTTTTTTTTTTTTTTTTTATAAAGATCCAGAATCCTACTACACAGATTATTCTTGGTGAACATGTTTCTGTTGACTTTGAATGTCTTCCTGGAATGTGTTCTTTTTTGGTTTGCTTTTTAAGGAAGCTTAGTGAAAATTTTCAAAGAATTACCTTTTCTCTCTTGGCATTCAGTTGCAGTTTTCTTCAATAACGTTTTAGAGTGATAGCATCTTCCAAAATATGCTACTGATGGGTACTTTTTCTTGTAATGTTGAAGTTAAAGATAGCAACTTGCTACAGTGTTTAGTCATTTGGGATCAATCCAGCCGCTTTCCTTGGTCTGTAGCCATCTGTATAATACTATTCATACTGTGCAATTCTGTGTCCCTTTTAGCCAGATTTTCATTAGCTGTCCCTTCTTTTTCTGCTAAGTCCTCTCCATCCCCCTTTTTCCATGCAGAGGAAATTGATGTTTGTGTATTAGGGCAGAAATTCTTCTGTGCCTTTTCCTTATTCATAGGGTTGACAAACTGTAGTGTTTATATTCACAGAAGGAACTTGGTCTGTAGTGGAAAACTTTGAATGATCTTAAGTCTGAAACCTTAAGCTGATATCTAATCTCATTGATGGAAGACAAGAGTTCATGAATTAATTTAGGAAGAAAAATAAAAGTGCTTTATTGCAGTTACAGTGCCATTGAAATTACTTGTGTGAGACTAGTTTACAGAAATATGGGTAATATTTTGTTGTAACTGGGCAAAAATACGTGTAGTTCCTTAATGTCATTTTCATCATCAGCCTTCAACTAGGTAATGCAATCTTCAGCTTGCAGATGACTTTTTCATTGATATTTGTGGTGTTGTAGGTTCAGGTACTACAAAAGGAACTCACAGCATCCACTTCTGAAGATACTCATCCATACAAAGAAGAGCTGGAAACAGCCTTGGAACAGTGTTTTTATTGTTTATATGGTTTCCCTAGCAAAAAAAGCAAAGCAAGGTACCTAGAAGAACACTCAGTACAGCAGGTAAGATATATATTATTTCATTTCAGGAGAATATCCTGAAGTCATGAAAGATACACCGTTGTTTGGTTTTAATGCGCCTTAATATATTTTGGAGGAAGATTGCTTTTATTCCCCTATAAAATTATGTATTTTACATATTGTAGAAAACAAATTTAAAAAAAATATAGATGGTCAGATATATATAGCCTTATTCACAGTAGTCTGCCATTTTTAAACCATTGATAAATCAATTGTATTGAGCTATGACTTTCCTGTTTTCAACAGAGAAGAAGTTCGAGTTTGAGGAAAATTAGGAAAAAAAGTCAGCTTGAGAGAAGAAAACTTTAGCAGCCAGCCTTGCAGTTTATGAATGTGAAAAATGTCACTGTTAAAAATTATGCAAGTAAATCATAGCTTATATTGAAATCTGTGATGGTAAATATCGGGTAGCTGTTTGAGAAATACGTGAAATTCGGGAGAACAACAACTACAGACTGCCTTGGGAAGAGGGTTAGTATTGTAGTAGTAAAGAAGGGACAGAGAAAGCAAGTCAGCGATCCTCTGCCTTGAGGATCATTGATGTTGTTCAAAAACCTCAGATAATTTTTGCATTTACCAAATGCAAGTGATCATAGAATTATAAATGAAAACCAGTTTCATACAAGTAAAACAATTGTCTGGCTCCTTTGAACAGACCTTTTTAAATATACAAATACTGTTATGTTGTTACTCATTGAATATTTGTGAATTCTGTCTCTTAAACTTCCCTGTTAGAAAATTAAGATAATAAGAAAATGGGAATAACTAAAAAAGAAGGAAGTATAAGGAGGTTGCCCTCTGCTCTCCCCTCCCGCCCCCCCCCCCCCCCACCCCCCTCCCCTCTCTATATTCTGG